AGTGGGCGCAGCCGCTGGGGCCTTCGGCGGAGCTCCCCGATTGGGGGCCACGATCCACGTGAGGGGTGTGCCGAAATGGGCGCAGCCGCTGGGGCCTCGGATCTGTATAGGATCCTGAGCAGTCTGTATCGGATCTGTATAGGATGCTAAGTAGTCTGTATCGGATCGGTATAGGACCCTATACAGTCTGTATCGGATCTGTGTAGGATCCTATACAGTTTGGCTCGGATCTGTATAGGATCCTATACAGTCTGGTATCGGATCTCTACAGGATCCCATACAGTCAGTATCGGATCTGTGTAGGATCTTATACATTCTGTCTCGGATTTGTATAGGATCCTATACAGTCTGTATCGGATCTCTATAGGATCCCATACAGTGTGTATCGGATCTGTATAGAGTCCGATACAGTCTGTACCGGATTTGTATAGGATCCCATAAAGTCTATATCGGATTGGTGTAGGATCCTATACAGTTTGTATCGGATCTGTATAGGATTTTATACAATCTGTATCGGATTTGTGTAGGATCCCATACAGTTTGTATCGGATCTGTATAGGATTCCCATACCGTCTGTATCGGATCTGTGTAGGATCCTATACAGTCTGTTTCGGATATGCATAGGATCCTACACAGTTTGTATCGGATCTGTGTAGGATCCTATACAGTCTGTATCGGATCTGTATAGGATCCTATACAGTCTGTATCGGATCTGTATAATATCCCATACAGTCAGTATCGGATCTCTAGAGGATCCCATACAGTCTGTATCGGATCTGTATAGGATTCCCATACAGTCTGTACCGGATTTGTATAGGATCCCATACAGTCTGTATCGGATCTGTATAGGATCCCATACAGTCTGTATCGGATCTCTACAGGATCCCATACAGTGTGTATCGCATCTCTACAGGATCCCATGCAGTCAGTATCGGATCTCTACAGGTTCCCATACAGTCAGTATCGGATCTCTACAGGATTCCATACAGTCAGTATCGGATCTCTACAGGATCCCATACAGTCTGTATCGGGTCTGTATAGGATCCTATACAGTATGTATCGGATCTCTACAGGATCACATACAGTCTGTATCGACTGTATAGGATCCTACACAGATCCCAGATCCCATACAGTCTGTATCGGATCTGTATTGAAGCGGCGGCACGCCGGCGCGCATACGTTTTTCACCCATAGGACCACGTCAAGGTCCGTAAGGGAGTCCAAGGGAGTTCCAGTTTTTTGTTTTGTTTTTGGTTGCTGGTTGCTGTTGCTGTTGCTGGGGGGGGGGGGCAGAATGCGTCCACGGGGCTCTGAGCGCAGCCTTCGCAATAAGGCGAGGGCGGGTCCGGACGGCTAGAGCTCACGGGGCTCTCACGCGCGCCTTTTCCTTGTTGTTGTTATTGTTGTTTTTGTTGTTGATGATGATGATGAAGTTGAGGATGATGATTGATGCTGATGATGATGCTGCTGCTGATACTGATGCTGCTGCTGATGCTGCTGCTGATGATGCTGCTGCTGATGATGCTGCTGCTGATGATGCTGCTGGTGGTGGTGCTGCTGATGATGACGATGATGATGATGCTGGTGATGGTGATGGTGGTGATGATGATGATGATCATGATGATGATGCTGCTGATGCTGTTGGTGTTGTTGCTGTTGTTGATGGTGATGATGACGACGATGATGATGACGATGATGACGATGATGATGATGATGACGATGATGTTGATGATGATGTTGTTGTTGTTGTTGAACATTATTTATTCTAAAGAATAATTATTGTTGGGCCCCCTGGTGCGCGCCCCCCCTGCGCCGCCTAGGCCGCAGCTACATTTTCATCATTTTCGTGAGGAAGCCTCAGAAAAGAGGGTGTGTACAGGATCCGGTTGTTTTGTTGTAATCCGCTTTCCCTTGCAAAAAACAATAGAAAATGACATTTCTTGTTCTAATATAATCAAATTTCAAGAATCCCTTGCAAAAAATAAGGTAAAGTGGACATTCGCGCGCGCAAGACGAAATCCTTCCAAAACCTTAGTGTTCGCAGCGATTTTAACATAAAAACATCAAAAAACCAATGGTTTTTCAACAAAAAATTGTCAAAATCTCATCCCGCGCGCTCTTGCGGATTCGTAGGAAACCCAACACTTTTTAAACATTTCTGTCAAACGGGCTTTTGCGAGCAACTTTTTCGAACTTCTGCGACAACGGTTGCGCACCTGCCAGGGCCATCATCCCTGTCAAATAATACCATGCGGGACACATTCGTTTTTTCTTCGCGCGCGCACGCCGTCGTCGTCGGCCGCGGGGCCCTGAATAGTAGCCACGGTCGTCCGCATGCCACGAAGTGAAGTGTCCGAACGTCATAGGGCGGGAAGCTGGGTGTGGGTGGTGGCGAAGAGTCGTTTGGAAATTTGGTAGAGCTTGAACCGGCCCCCCCACAAAGTGGGGGTATTGCCCGCCTCCTATGAAAACCCTGGCACTGGTGAGAACGGAGTGTCCC